AGGGAGGGAGGGAGGGAGGGAGGAAGGAAGGAAGGGAGGAAGGAAGGAAAACAAAACAGTCACTTTCTCCACTTTGTCGCTGCTGGAAAATACACACGTATTGTTCCAACCTGATGAAATCAAAAGGGTTCTTGTGCCTTCTGGGAAGAACTTTTTCCTCATGAGAGACTTGCAAAGATAAATGGTGACCCCTTTCTGTTCTACATTTTCCAATATATGGCATGATACCTGAGGCTCTTGCAGCAGAGAATCACGCATACTGACACACATGTGTAAAGCCACCCAAATCCTACAGCAGCCAAGAGACTCCTTGACCTCTGTGGTTTCTGGACTTGAAAAAAGAAAGCATTTTAGGTTGGAGTCATTTTCATCTGAGTGTGTTATTTCTGCAAGTCACATGCATCCTTAATGAATAGCCGTGTACCAGGGACCATAGCATGGCCCGTTTGATGCTTACAACCATCCTGCTAGCTAGGCATTATCCCACCCCTTTTTAGAAAAAAAAATAACCTTGGCTCAGAAAGATTTGTCCAAAGTCTCCAAAGCTAAGGACAGAAATCATGGCTAGAATCTGTCCATGCACTTGGAGTGCCTCGGCTCTCATTTGCATCTCACTATTCCATCCCTGCAGTGGGAATTAGAATTTGAGAGTGTAGGTAGGAATGTCTTTCTTCTGAGACTACAGACGGCCCTATAGGAGGTAAGGATTGGCCATAAAGACTAGTGTTGGTGTATGACTTTAAAAATAAGAATGGTGTTACACACATTCTTTCAGATTAAACAGCCTTGGCATTCATTATGATAGGCTCTGACTGGAAGAGTGGGTGGAGGGCTCGGCACCCTGCTTCCCATCTTCATTAAGGATCTCTTTCCTGTTACTCTATCCCTTCCTTAGCTGGAAGTCCAGCAACTTAACTGGAATGGTTTTGAAATCTGCCTCTGTCAAACATGAATGATTTCAAGTCTTGTCATTTGAAAAAACCATAGAATATCTGAAAGTGAAGAAAGAAAAAAAAAAAAGAACGGTAGAGCATTTATCACCCCTTCCCCTTTTAAATCTTACCTGATAATTCAAAGGGATTTCCTTCAAAATTTTATGAGGCCCTTAGGTACTCGAAGTTGATTATTGATGGACCTGTTCCATAGATTTATCTTAGGAAGGCCAAGGGTTCTCTTCCTGGCTTCACCGTCTCTCTACTCTAACAAATGGACCATTGTCATTTGTCTGAATCTTAGTTCCCTTTTGTCTACATGAACCATATCCTTGCTAGGTTTACCTGTCTGGAATTTTTTGCTCTCTCTTCTTCTTCTTAGTAATATTCTCTGGGCAAACCAACATAAGGTTCATTACTGATGATTTGAAGTTAAGTTTGATGGTTTAAAGCTATTAGAGAGTGCACATGTGTAGAGTAATACATTTATAAGACATATTCCAGACAAATAACATCTGTGCAGAAATTTCTGCCAAAGTCAGATGACACTAAAAGAGACAAAATTATGCCATGTGGGTGTCCGCCCTCTATCCAAGCCAGCCACAGGGGCAGGACACTTGTCTGGCAATCCTAAAAACCAGAAAGTGAAAAGGAAACTATTACAATACATGCTCAAATAGGAAATGGAACTTCTGGGAAACATTGGCTTAACAAAGACTGCATAAACCCGGTGGTGGTGGTACATACCTTTAATCCCAGCACTCAGGAACTCTGTGAGTTTGAGTCCAGTCTGGTCTACAGAGTTAGTTCCAGGACAGCTAGGGCTGTTACACAAAGAAACCTTGTCTTGAAAACACAAAACAAAAGTAAATAAAAGAAAGACTGCATAACAATATGTAAAAGGTTAGGACAGTCACTGTTTTTTTTTTTTTTTCCTAAATATACATTAACATTGTAAGCATCCACAGTGGGAAAAATAAGGGAGTACATTCAAGTTTCATTGCTTCTGGTCCATGTCACCCATCTCTATTGACTAGAATCACTGGGATAGTGACTAGTCTCCCAGACTCAACCCTTCAAACAAACGTTTGCTTTCTCAGTCTCTTCTCAGATAAAGAGTTTGGGCTGTCTTTCCAAGAATCAAACTAAATCAGCATTTCCTTCTGCTCAAAATGCCCCAGTAGTCCTCATGATCACCAAAGGTAAAGGCCATAGTTATGAAATTATTTTGAGGCCCTTCATTTTTACTTCTCTTTTTCCTCAATGCACATCTAATTGTTTCACATGGCTCCTCCAGCAGAAGCAGTTTGCTGTTGCCAGAAAAACCCAACACACCCACCTGTTGGTAGGATAGTATTTGCAGGTGTGTGACTTTTGTTTATGCTGCATTTATTTAATTCTGTGAAACTGAGTTACTGGACATATCTAAACACCTGGTGGCCCTAATAAAGAGTTGAACATCCAATAATGTGGGGCTGGCAGGCAGAGAGTATAAATAGAAGGAAAACTGAGGAACAGAGTAGCAACAAGAGAACAAGGAGAGAAGACATCAGGGGCCAGGTACCTAGCCACCCAGCCAGTCACAAAGTAGGAAGGAAAGTAAGATTCACAGAGTTAAGAAAGATAAAGGCCCAGAGGGAAAAGGTAGACAGGGTAATTTAAGATAAGAAAAGCTGGCTAGAAACAAGCCAAACTAAGGCTGGGCATTCATAAGTATTAAGACTCTGTGTGATATATTTGGGAGCTTGGTGGTGGGCCCCCCAAAAAGAGCCAAAAAAGTCCAAAAAGCTAAAAGAATAAAAAAAATTGATACAATACCCCTCTTGTACTCTTCTTACACATCTTTGTTCAAATGTGTGCTTAGTAGTATCCTAGAACAGACCTATTTAAAAGTTCAGACCTTCTAGTACCCAAGCATTCCCCCAAACTCTCTCCCCCTTCTTGCTTCATTTCCCACCAAAGCTCACCATAGCTAATGCAATACATTGATTTGTTGTCTTTTGGTTTTTTTGAGACAATATTCCACTGCATCATTCAAGCTGGTCTGGAACTCTGGGTCCTTCCTCCTTCTGCTTCCACATGCTGGAATTACGGGCATGTGCCATACATCCACCCAGCTCATAACATTTCATTCTTTAAGATCTTTATTATTATTAAGTGTTTACATTTTTCTTTTGAGTTTGTTCAAGCCCTTCACTAGGCTGCTAGCTACACAAGGGCATGGGCTTTGTCTGTCAATCATTTATGTAATCAATGCTCCATTGAAAGAATGTACAACCAACATTATTGGCCAAACATTGTGGGTGAGTCCATGTTGGATGTTCCAGCTCCAGCGAAGGCACTGGTTGAACTCAGTTACATAGTGGACTCAGCTATCCCTCTGAAGAACAGACAAAGCAAACAAAGCCAACTAATATTCAGAATAATAAGACCTAATCGAGTGTTGCTTTCTTAAGTCACAGATAGCAAAACTAGATAACAAAACTAGCATGTAAAAAATAATGAATGCTCAATTAGCTAATAAGCAAATTAAAATTTTTCTTAATACATATTCAATAAGTATCTGTGAAATAAGTATTCTCTCAACTTGGCCATTTATCTGAAACTAGATATGAGTGGATTGGGAGACAGTCAGTGAATCGCCTGACTTCTTCAGGGTAGCTTTTATCCAAAGCCCAACATAGCATCGGCCCTGTGTCCCAATACATTCACACAATAAAATGAGGTTCATCAATGAAGAGCAGATGTTCATCTGACCAAATCATTATTTGTTCTTTTCCCCAAAGAGAAATAGTCACGCATAGTATTGAACTAGAATTAGAGTTTATTACCCAAGCATTTTTGTTTGGTGTGGTGTGCAAGCCACATGCTTGTTTCTCCTGTAGGCTGTTCTGCAATGTGATTTTTTGACTCGTCATCAGACTTGCATAATCTTAGCTGTTCTTCTGGCCTTTGTCACTTTCAAACTTGTTCCCTTCGATACAGTGAAGTTCTTGATTTTTGATCTTTTGAATGCCAGTTTTAACGTAAGGAAGTCAGAGTGTCCTGGTTATGAAGCAGCAAGAAAAGAGAGTCCTTGTGGAATTAAGGTCCTTATGGAAAGCACGGGAAATTCCAAAGCACTGCTGGCATCGACATAAGTGATGCTTGAATGTTCCTAATGACATTCCTACCACCCCTTCGAAGGCTCAAGGATATCATGCATGTGGAGGTGGAAAGAATGGAAGAGAAGAAAGATCAGGAGAAGCGCCATTTTCTGGACAGTACACAATCATTGCAATTATGAACTCACACAGTCAGTCGTGATTGGGTCAATCAAGAGTCATGTGTGAGTAGGAGAGAGATGTAGGGTGTCCTATCCCTTACTTCTGAACTATTGGCTATTGACAACTCTTGGGAGAGGGGCATCATTGTCCTGAGCTGTGTACCCACTGGTGAGCTCATGCAGTTCCAGCGGGTAGTTCCAAATCCATCCTCATGAAGATAGCCATGGTTAAAACCAATGGACCACAAAACAAAACAAAGAGGCATGGATCTGACAAGAACTTGTAAGGAAGAGGGAATGTTAAAGCTGAAATATTCAGGATATAAAATACAAAATGAAAATCCTTGGTTGATAGCCTTATTATTCAGTCCTTAGAAAAACAGTTGAAAAATAATGAGCATCCTTTTGGTTAAGGCAAAGTACATCAGGTGAAATCCACGCACCTCTAGTTTTGCCATGCTAACCAATGCTTTCAAGGCACCAGGCCCCTGCACCTTACCCTTTCCCCCTGCTTCAACTACCTTGCTAGAAATGACACCATGTATTTTCTCATAGTCTGCAGTAATTTATATGACTAATAACTTCTCTAAAGTCCTAATGTATCCCCTATTCCATGCTCTAATGAACATGGAAAAAGGACAAAGCATGCTCTCTGATAATTTCTGTTTCATTTGACCCTAAGAGACACTGATTTGCTTCCTGTAGTCATATTTCCTTCCCAATGCTATGATGGGATCTCTTGGTTACATTATATAATGAGAATTTCAGTCTAATTAGATGTGGCATGTATGGCCACAGCAGAGTGGTGACAAGATTTGGGTTCATATGATTCCACTCTGCTGGAGGTACTTAGTAGTTCGTTTTATAGCAATCTTCCCAAGATGCCTACATTCTAGAAATGTTTAAGATGGTAATTTCAATGTAATTTGAATATCAAAAATTTTACTTTGATGATTATTATAAGAAGATAATACTTGAGGTTGAGATTCTCCTTGCTCTATTTTGTAGTCTGGGAATTGAAGCTAAGGCTTCACACATTTTTTTAAAATTTATTTTAAGTTGCTTAAAGTATTTAATTCTCTGTCTCTTTCATTCTCTGCCTCTATCGCTCACAACTCTGTGTGTGGGTGTGTGTGCATGTGAACATGTGTGTTCAAAACTCTTAACTTGAACAATACCCTTGTTAATAAAAGTTCTAGGCCATCCTGGTCTACAAAGTGAGTTCCAGGATAACCAGAGCTGTAACACAGAGGAACCCTATCTTGAAAAACCAAACCAAACCAACAAACAACTTTTATATCCATCATTTCCAGAAATTTTTGTTGTGTCTGCATTTTCAAGGCTTTTTGGTAAAGCTCCAGTGGTTATTTAGTAAACTATTCATTTCTGCATAGTAAAGGGGCCGCTTAGTAAACTGTCCACTTGAGAGAGCCACTTCTTAGAAACTGAAGTTTGGGATTTGAGGTGACTTTTGCTTCAATATCTAATAGTCTTCCTGGCAGTTACCACACAAATTTTCATTGCACTTCTACTACATATGAGTTCTGGAATACTGACTTTGAAGAAAAAAATTTAGAAAAATGCAAGCCAAGCATAGTGACTCATTCCTGTAATCTAACATTTAGGAAGCTGAGGCAGGAAAATTGCTGCTAGTTCCAGGTTAGCCTAGGCTATAATGAGAGATCTTGTATCAAAAATCATACCAAAACCAAAGAATATTTGGTATGATTCATCCCCGAGAATGACTAACATCTTATTCAAAGAAAAAAGGACCTGGAAGAATCTCCACTTGCTATATTAGGAACAGCTAACAAGGGTCACTGTTTCTTTCTGTGTGCTTGTGCCACCAGGGGTCTGTGAAGATACTGAAGAGCATTCTTGACATAAACCTTCATCTATGTGTGCTTTGGTTGCTGTTAGATGCTCTTAGCTCCTAGGAAGTGCATGTCACCAATGGTTGTATTGTGATTCAATGAGTGATAGTGACTTCCTCATTCAAGTGGTAGGTTTCTTCCTTCACTAAGGCACACAGATTTTGAAAACCAAGTTTGAGAACAAAAAAGACGTAGAATGTATTATTCTTAGTTATACAGAATTACAGTTTTGATGTTTTTTGTTTTGTTGTTGTTTTGTTTGAATCAATGAGCTTTCTTTGAATTGCCTACAGGAACATGGGGAAGCAGTTGCTTACTGGAGCATAAGGAGCTCAACACAATTGCTATCACAAAGCTCGAAACCCAGCATGTGACATAGTTTATGAATAATGCACACCTGTAGGCATATCTACAAGTTAAAGAGCAAGTGACCATGCTGAAATCATTATTCATTGGAACACCTTAAAAACTGAGCACTTGGGGGCAGAACCATGGCTCAGTGGGTGGAGGTGCTTGCACACAGGCCTGGCAACCTGAGTTCAATCTTTCGATCCCACAAGGTGGCAGGAGAGAACACTCCCAGGATTTCTCTGCTGTCCACACATTACACCCAATGCAGACATGCACATCCATGGGTGTACAAATGTGTATGTGTGTATGTGCATGTGTGTGTGCACACCACACACTCACACAATGAAGAACAGGCCCTCTTCAAATAAATAAATAAACAAATCTACATTTGCTAGTAGTTTACTGGTAAATGTTGGTTGGTGCAAACATTTTAAAAGAGGAGCTAGAAGTATTCACAGCCTATTCAATATTAATTATGCACCTGTAAGAAGTTTGTTTTCAATCTTTAGAGATGATTTTGTTTTTATTAACACCATAGTTATTGCATGAATAAATCTTCCCCGCTAATGTGTGCTCTGTTATAAATGTGCTGTACTGAACAAAGGGTTATTGTTCATAGCCATTTGATTTAAAGTTTTCCACTTTGTTTACCATTGTTTGCTTTTAGATGAATAATGCCCCTTCGCTGGAAACCAAGCTCTTTGAGGAATGGAGACAGGGAGGGATTCATATTTATTTTATCCTGTGCTCCAAGTCTAACAATGGTATGTCTCCATTGTAATTTATCAGAGAGATTTTCAGAAAATAGTCCAACTTAATCACAGGTTGATGAATAAACAGCTCATATGAGCTTCCAGTCTTTAGAACCAAACATCTGAAGATAAAGAAAAGGTCTTTGAAGTTTTTCTATACTGGAAAGCTGATGAATCATTTTATCACATGACTGACATGTTTTTATCTAGTAATTGATATGTCTTATCTTATGTTTTTGAAATAAATAGAATTAAAAGAAAATATAATGAATATATACAAATAAAACTAGAAGTTAAGGGTTTTTTTCCTATAAAACCACCATTCTTTCAAATACATTAATACAAAATAATTTATCCATCTGTAAAAGAAAAATAAAATTCAAAGCAAATCAAAGAAAGAATTAAATACTTAAAATATTTTAATTATAAGGCATTCTTTGACTAAGGAGTCCTAGGGTTGTGACTCAAGTTAGGACTTCTATTACTGTGGTAAAGCACAATGACAAAATGCAACTTGTAGAGGAAAGGGTTTATTTTAGTTTACAGTTGCAGTCCATCAACCAGGGAAGTCAGGCTTGAAGCAGGGAAGAAACCTGGAGGCATGAGCTGACACAAAGGCCATGGAGGGGTGCTGCGTGCTGGCTTGCTCCTCATGGCTTGCTCAGCTTGCTTTCTTATAGCACTCAGGACCATCAGTCCAAGAGTAAGTAGTGCCACACACAATGAGTTGAGCCCCCCATCGTACACACATATTAATTACTCATTAAAAACTGTCCTTCAGACAATACTAAGAAACTCAATCTCACAACAGTCTTTTCACTTACAATATTTTCACCTCCTCTTTCCTCAGTGTTCACTGAGCCTTAGGGGGAGAAGTGTTTTATAGATGTATCCATTAGGTTGTGGTTGTGGTTTTCTGTAGTGGTCTCAATCTGTTGCCAAGAGAAGCTTCCTTGATGAGATGTGAAGACTACACTTATCTGTGGATAAAGGGACAAATGTTTATAGATTGTTGTTAGGGATTATGCTGGTTTAGTAGATTAGGGTTTGTAGATTCTTCTCCAATAAAAATGATTTCACTAGCAACTAATGGTTTAATGGATATTCAGTACCATGCATTGTTTCCTTCTGATTGAGAGGTTCTTACATCCAAGTAGAGAGTTGGTGGTTACTGCCAAAGTATATGCGCCACTGCTGCACCCTTAAGGTTATTGTGCCATGCTGGTCATTGATATAGTTTTTAGTCATCATAGCTAGGTAGAACTGTTGTTTGCTTCTCTCCTTTGGAAGCTGCATGACACTTTCTAGTACCATGAAAGCTGATTGTCAGTGAGGAGGCATTCATGGCAGTTCCAGCTGAGGGGTCTCTGGACCCTGTTTCAGTAGAGCATGGTGTCTTTAGCAATAGGGACTTACCTTTCTCCTTTGGGGGGGTCAATCAAGGGCGATAGCAATAGGCTCAATCATTTGGGAGTCTTTGTATAGCCCTGATCAACAACTCAAAGGTGGACTTCTTATGTCTACTGTTGGGGATTTTGTTAGTAATGTCAGAAGCTACACTCATAAAGTATCATCAACATAACTGCCCAAATGTGAAAGGAACAAGGACACCAATGGACATGCTAAAGTGAATGGAAAAAACCTCACAAGGCCTTGACTCTGTACAAAGAACTATAGGCAAATAAGGAAAGCTGAGATCAAGAAAGGTGGTCTTCCCTAGGGAAGAGCACACAGTTAGTTGCTCATTTCCAAGATGTCAGCCTGGATACATAGGTACAAGTAACATTATTCAGACTGAGCAGGTTATATTTAGGAATATATATGTTTGTGTATGTATGTGTATATGTATGTATGGATGGATGGATGTGTGTGTGTGTATACAATAAAAATTAATAAAAAAAGAGGTCATAACTTTGAAGAAAAGTAAGGAGGGGTATTTTGGTGAAAGAAAGGGAAGGAAGAAATGTTTTGATTACATCATCCTATCAAAAAGCAAAAGAAGAAAGAAAGAAAGAAAGAAAGAAAGAAAGAAACAAAGAAACGAAGGAAGGAAGGAAGGAAGAAAGGAAGAAAGAAAGAAAGAAAGAAAGAAAGAAAGAATGAAAGAAAGAAAGAAAGAAAGAAAGAAAGGAAGAAATAAAGAAAGGGAAGATAGGCTTTCAGCCTACTCTTATGGAGACATTTTCTCAATGGAGTTCCATTCCTCTCAGATGAAGATAGTTGACATAAAACTAACCAGTACAGATTGATATGTTATTCTCTGCTTTTAAAGTGTAATCTTTTTTAAAAATTACTTTAACTATTAAGAGTTTTAATTTTTTAATTTTACATAATAAAATGACATAAGATATATCTTATAACTAAAATATTTTTGGAAAATTATGGAGCAGTAACTTGTGAAATTCGTAACAAATTGAGTAATTTTATACAGGTATTAGGAATTATAATACAGCAGACTTTAAAGTGACAAGTTACTAAACATGCTTCTCTAATTTTAGTTTTTAAAGTGTACAAAAAACTTCTTATATATGCTACAGTTTACAAACCAAAACCAATAAACCAACAGAATCCATTTTATTTGTTTATTTATATAAACTTCATTCTGTGCCAGAATGTTGTCCATTAGGTAAATATTAGAAAATAGAATAAAAGTAATTGTGTATTTACTTTCTTTGTTGTATATTGTAATTACATTCTATTGGTGTGATAAAACATTATGACCAGGGCAAATTATAGCAGAAAGAGTTTATTTGGGATTATGGTTCTAGAGGAGTAAGAGTCTGTCTTTATTTGGGAGACAGGATAGCAAACAGCAGGCAAAAGCCTGGTGCTCATATCTTGAACTGTAAGCAAGAAGCAGAGAGCGGGATAGGGAAAGGGCACGGGGGAGAAGTTATAGAAGAGAGAAGAGATGAGGCAGATATGTGAAGAGAGGGTGGTGTGCACTGGGAATGGCTAGAGGCTTTGAAACCTGAGAGATCACCCCCAGTGATACACTTCCTTCAGGAAGGCCACACCTCCCAAAGCTCCCCCAAAGTACCATCCATTGAAGATCAAGTTTTCAAATGCCTGAAACTACGGAGGAAGTCTCACTCAAAACAGCACAGTAAATCTTTCTGAAGTTAGATTTTAATTGATATAAAAGTACAGGCAAGGTCAAATGTCCTCTGAAACATTTCTGTTACTTCACTGAATAAAGTTCAGTCCATATAGGTCTTAAGCCTATAGCAATGCCATATATGTATCAAAGATTCTAATTTGTCAAAACTGGAATAAACTGTCCTGAAAGAGTTCAACCTGTTTGATGGTATAAATGCATGGGTATTTAAAACTACAACAGATAAATAAAACAGTTGTTAAATTTGTTAAACACAGATAGAGAAACTTGGGTAGAAATATGAGTAGAAGAGCAAGTCTCGTGACTACACAGCACATGGATGTATTTCCAGAAAGAACATCATTGTGTGGCACAGAAGCCTGTGAACATGGCCAAGATGTACAAAGCAGTCCCAGCCACAGTGCCTCCCATGGCACCAATCTAATCTCAAGAAAGATTCCAGCTTTTAATTCAATTCCACAAATATTTGTGTTCAATATTTGTTGTACAAGGGAAACCAGCACTGTGCCAAATGTCCTGCTTTAACAAAAAATTGAAATCTCTGTTTAACTTTGAGTACAATGTTTAGTCAGCATGGGTCTCGATTTCTTCATCTGAAAAATGAAGACCAGATTAAGTGAAAGCTAAGGTAACTATGGGAGTGGCTTGGACCTTGTGATGGCAGATTATTCTTTGCTTTGTACCTGTTCCTTTACCTCTCAATTATGGTAGGAGATACTAAAGAAACCACAAATTCCACTTTGCAGAAGGTACGTCATCTACTAGAGGATTGAGCTCAGTGTGCTAGGCAGGACAACGGTGGAACCTACAGTCTAAACAGAAAAATGGCCTGGGTGGAGCTGTGCCATCATCCATGACATGATTTGAGGAAGTTACTATCTCTTTTGGGGTTTTTGGTTTCCTAAAATAGTAGTTGAACTTGCCTACAAATGGCCAATAAATGCTTTAAGAAATGTTCAACACACAGAAAGCTATCAGGGATATGCAAATTAAAACTACCTGGAGATGCATTCTTATTCCAGTCAGAATGGCTATCATTCAAAAAAAAAAAAAAAAAAAAAAAGACAGCAAGTGCTGGTGAGGATATGGAGAAAGAGGAACCATTATTCAAGCTGGTATGAATGTAAGTTGGTGTGGCCATTATGGAAGATTTTCAGAAAAGTGAAACAAGAAGTACTGTTGATTCAGAATATCTGCCTAAAGAATTCTAAGTCAGCATTCCACAAAGATATTTGCACATCCACTTCTATTGTTCCACAATTCACAGTAGCCAAGATATGGAACCAGGGTAGATGAATGGATACAGAATCAAGAGCTGAATGGATAAAGAAAATGTGGTACATATAGACAATGGATTTTTACTCAGTTATAAAGAAGAAGAAATTGTGGCATGTGCAGGGACATAGATGGAACTGGAGGTCATTATACTACATAAACTACACTTGGAAAGACCAGTATTAGATGTTTTCTCTAATATATGGAATTTAAATTTGTATATATATGTACATACACAATATATTATATGCATATAAAAGTAGAGAGGATTGTAAGGTATAAAGGGATAGGGAGGAAGGAACAAGAAAGATTAATGGGATATGGGAATGAGAACCAACAAGTCAGAGCCTGGTTTGGAAGGCCAATGAGAGGAGACAAATAAGAACAATGATATATGTGTACAAAAATGTCACAATGAAACCTACTCTTTTGTATGCTAACTTATATATGTATGTATATACATTTACATATATATAATCATCTTATAGGGTTGTAAAGAATAGATGTGTTACTATATGTAAAGTCATTGAACAGCATCTAACAGAGTAGATATTTCAACAGGACTCACTGTTACTGTTCTGTATTAGGCAGAGGGACAGAAATGTCAATAGTCTAGATTTTAACCTATACACTGACATTCCTGAGGGAGATATTTACTTTAATTAATAGTAGCCACTTCATGAGATTACCCATGAATCAATAAATAATGACTTCATCAGCAATATTGCATGACAAAAAATATATACTATTATTGTTCAACTATGTTTACTTAGTCAATGGAATCTCCAATAATTTAAAAGATAATAATAACTTATTAGTCTGCTGAGGCTCCCCACACTGTGTAGATAACAGTATAACTTAGGACAGACTTCATTCTTACTTGGCTAAATAAGTTACGAGTAGATGTTAATATATTAATGAAGCCAGAATTACACATAACTACAGTTCTTCCTTCAGTGTCCCACACACAGTAACCCTTGGAACTGAGCTGTCTAGAAATGGGGGAAATGTGTGATTTTACAGAAATTTTCAGGTTTATAAATTTAATCACAGTGAACTCTTAGAATATAAATATTTAGGACAACGGGTAACAGCCTTTAACAGCACAGTTAGCAGGGCATATATGTTCAATAAATGCTACTGTGTATTGTTTTAAATTTCCCTTTCTATAGAATTGAAGCAAAAATCACATCCAATAGAGGCATTTCTAAATGATAAAGGAGATAATTGTTTTCTCGCAACACAGCTAAAACTATTTCACAAATATTGCACAGTCATTTTAAGGATTCAAGGAATATTAATAGTTATAGCCTAATAATATAAAACTCATTGGAATGAAAAAGATATTCTCTCTCAATTAAGTTCACTTAATCAACTGACTCCTCAGTAGGTTCAAATAGAGTAACTGATAAGTACTTTGTCTGCTAAGATTCTCTACACTCTGCCGGGAGCACTATAGCTTGGACAGGACTATAGCTTGGACAGGACTTCATTTTCACTTGGTAAAAATTAAAGTTACAACTGCATCAAATCATTGTCTAAGGACACTATTGTCTATGAACTGACATTCAGAGAAATGGGAATGAATAGTTTTGTCAAACTCCATTAGAAGGTCTTCAGAGAATATACATGCTGCAAAATTCCATTGATCATTTTTGCATTCAGAAAGCTGCAACAAAATTCTTTTATAGAAAAATATAATGTGGTTTCTGTATGAGAGAATCTGAATAAGTAAATGTGATACGCCTGTTGGGTCAGTTAATTCTTCCTTAGTGCCAGAGTGCCAACCTATATATTCCCTTGGAGTTGTTAAAAGAGGTGCAGTATTTCCAGACAGTGGTGTCCACTATTCAATGTTGTAGGCTTTCTGTAAAGAAAAAAAAAATCCCTTCCTTCTTTAGACCGAGATCTTGCTTTCAAAGTCATATTTTTGCATCAGCTTTATCTACTCATTCATTCATTCATTCATTCATTCATTCATTCACTTACTTATTCCATGATGGGAACTGAATGAAGAGCCTTAGAGATTCTAGAAAAGTACTTCATCCCTGACCTCCTTCCCCAGCCCTACCTTTACTTTTTTCATTTTTTTTTAACACACAAGATCTTTCCACATTGCATAGACCGGCCATGAACACACCCTGTAGCCTAGGCAGGCATTGAATGTGTGACTCCCCTGCGTTAGTCATCTAAATAACTGAGGGTACAAAACTGTGCTACTTGGTATGCCCAAGTGATATTTCATAAAGTAATATAAATTATTTGTTTCCCATTTTATGCAAAATGGGGAAATAATAAATTTAAACAAATAGATAAATACAAATGACAAATATCTAGTAGTAAATGTGACCAGTTGTATTCTCATGAAAATGTTGAGATTTCCAGGGGTTGTGGGATTTATGTAAGGGGAAAGCATGGGTCATGATTTTACGTAAACAACGTGACTCCTGTGTCTTCTTCCTGTCGTTAACCACGTCTCCTAACCTAGCACACATCTCCTAACATAGTGCCTCACCTTTGACTGTTTCTGGTCTTCTCTCCTCTCAGTGGATTGCAATGGAAACCTTCTTGTGGTTAGTGACTTCAGAAGACACTGGAACTGAAAAGAGGGGAGAGCATGCTTATGGATATTGAAATAACAGAGACAAATAGTATTACCAAATATAGAGTCCGTCACTTTAGGCATGTATGTGGCTATTTTGAAAATAACAGTTACTATCTTATACATATATATAATGATGATAGGTATTCAAGAAAACATAATAGTTAAGAGTGAAAAGAATAGGACTAGAGAGATGGCTCAGTGGTTAAGTGTGCTGGCGGCTCTTCCAGAGGACCTAGGTTCAATTCCCAGCACCCACATGATGGCTCACCACAGTCTGTAACTTCAATTCCAAAGGATCTGACACCCTCACACAGACACATATCCAGGCAAAACACCAATGCATATGAAATAAAAGTAAAGGTGAAAAGAATAAGAGAAGGTATTGAATGCCTTCATATTTTCAATCATATTTTTTCATAACAAGTAAGAAGTCTGGTGCCATGCACACCAGTGTGTTTTGGAACTTCTTACCAGTGGCCTGTTTCAGAAGGCCTCTTGTGAGGCCTGTGACCTCTAAGCAGAATGACACAGTGAAGCAAGCACACGTCTTCTGCTATACTCACTTCTCTTTTAAGAAGTGCTTTTCCCTTCCTCCAGCGCTTCTGCCTTTCACCTCCCCCAGCTCTCTCAGTTCTCTGCTCCAAGTGTCAAATGGAGGATAAGTCACGAATACTTTGGGGGCTGGTGACAGAAATTGCTGTTTGGCCTCTCTGAAAACCTGTGGCTACTGCTCAGAATATTAATTCTCTAGTGATAATGGTGACCAATGAGGGTATTTGAACTGCTATAGCCCCTGACTCGAGGAATTATTTTTGTTGTTAAATTTATCATTTATACAGAAAATTTTACAGTGAATGATGCTACCTGCACTCTAATCTTGGGTGTCTTTGGTTAGCACTGCAAAGATGGTATAAAAATCATCGCTTACCAACTCTGTATGGAAATTAACAACTTCAGGTTCAACTGGACTCATTCAGAGGACGAAGAGATGACGGTGTCAGGACAGAATGAATGGAAGCTTGCAAGGTGCTTCTTTATTTAGAGTGGGCCCCTGCTGCCCCTGCTGTTGACCTCACTGGTTTTTTGCCCGTTGAAGTAGTTGAGTTGACTTTTGCTACTGAGCATGAAGAAATTACATAGTCAATTAAGTAAACAACCAGCAAACTTAATAGTCTTCTGAAGTTTTCAAAGCTCTGAGGCAAATCGTACAAGGAAATATACAGGAGTTTTATGAAGCACTAGGCCTCTTTGTAAGAAATACGTGATGACTGTTAGAGGAAGAATGTGCATGACATATGCTACTAATATCTAAAGTGAACAGCATCACCATGGTTGAAAGGCCTCTGTAAAGTAGGCTTTACTGGGTAATATTACAGTACAAAATTAGAATGTTCTTGCTGAATATTATCCTTGGCCAAGCACTGGGTAAGGGTCCTTTCACAGACAACATATAGGGTACTTAGATAGCTGAATGATACATGGTGATAATGAATGGGCATTAGGTCTTCTTAAAATAGTGGAAATCATTCCCCTTATACAATAGGAATTGTTTTATTTTCCATTATAATAAAAATAGCACAATAAAATTAATTAAGAGCCAGTAAGAGACACCAGTTCTAAAATTGATAATCGCAATCAATGAAAGCAGATGCTGGAGGTGGGGATTGCATCCAGGCAGCAGCAGGAGGAGATGAAGCAAGCTTTGAAGTCCAAGCCTTGTTGATGAGATCAGAATATTAATTCAGGTATGATAAACAGGAGAACATTCTCCTGAAACTTTCCTTAACTAACATAATTCCTAACTGCATCCTAAATACTGTTGTATACACAGATAAGTGTATCTCACTCCTCATCAAAAGCTTCTGTTTTTATTCTTTTATTGAAATTATGATTAATTCTCCCTCTCCTCCTCTCATTTCATTCACACCTCCCTCCCATCTGTATTCACTCCCTTTCTATCTCTCATTAAAAAACAAACAGGAATCTAATAGTTAACAATAAAATAAAGGGAAAAGTTATTCACCAACACCATATCCGACAGAGAACTGATCTCCAAAATGTACAAAGAACTCAAGAAGCTAGTTTCCAAAACATCAAATAATTGGATTAAAAAGTAGGGTACAGAACTAAACAGAAAATTCTCAATACAGAAATCTAAAATGTCTGGAAGACACATAAGAAAGTGCTCAACATCCTTAGCCATCAGAGAAATGCAATTCAAAACAACTCTGAGATACCATCTTACTCCCATCAGAATGGCAAAAATCAAAAACACCAATGATAATTTATGCTGTAGAGGATGTGGAGAAAGGGGAGCACTCATCCACTGCTGGTGGGAGTACAAACTTGTACAGCCACTTTGGAAATCAGTATGACAATTCCGCAGGAAAATGGGAATCAGTAAACATAGATCCAGCAATTCCACCCTTAGGCATATACCTAAAAGAAGCACATTCATACAACAAGGACATCTGTTCAACGATGTTCATAGCAGTACTATTTGTAATAGCCAGAAACTGGAAGCAGCCTAGATGCCCGACAACTGAAGAGGGACAGAGAAAATGTACATTTACAAAATGGAGTACTACTCAGCAGAAAAAAACAATGGAATCTTGAAATTCCCAAGCAAAAGATGGAACTAGAAGAAACCATTCTGCTCGAGATAACCCAGTCGCAAAAAGACAAATATGGTATGCACTCACTCATATATGGATTTTACACATAGAGCAAAGGATTGCTAACCTACAATCCACACCAACAGAAAAGCTAGGAAACAAGGAGGACTCTAAGAGAGACATACATGGTTCCCTGGAGAAGGGGAAAGGGAAAAGATCTCCTGAGCAAATGGGAGCATGGGGGTGGGAGAGGAAGCTAGGAGAATGAGAAGAGAAGAAGAGGAGGGATGAAGAGGACATAAGGGAGCAGGAAGGTTGTGTAGCAGGGAGAATAGAAGAGAGCAAAATAAGAGATATCATCAGAAAGGGAGTCATTATAGGTTTAAAGAGAAATCGGGCACTAGGGAAATGTCCAGAGATCTACAAGGATGACACCAACTAGCCATCTAAGCAACAGTGGAGAGGCTACCTTAAATGCCCTCCCCTGATAATGAGATTGATGACTAACTTATATGCCATCCTAGAGCCTTCATCCAGCAGCTGATGGAAGTAGAAGCAGAAACCCACAGCTAAACACTAAACTGAACTGGAATCCAGTTGCAGAGGAGGAGGAGTGATGAGCAAAGGGGTCAAGACTAGGCTTGAGAAACCCACAGAAACAGCTGACCTGAATAAGTGGGTGCTCTTGGTCCCCAGATCGATCACTGGGAAACCAGCATGGAACTGATCCAGACCCCATGAATGTGGGTGTCAGTGAGCATGCCTGTGAAATCAATGGGGCCTCTTGTAGTAGATCAGTACTTATCCCTAGCATAGGAATGGACTCTGGGAGCCCATTTCACATAGAGGGATACTCCCTCAGCCTAAACACATGGATGCGTGCCAAGGCCATATCCCAAAGGATATGACAGACACTGAAGACCTTCCCCATGGAAGACCTCACTCTCCCTGGGGAGCAGAAATGGTATGGGATAGGTAGGTTGTTGGTAGGATCAGGGGAGGAGGGGAGGGAGAGGGAACTGGGATTGACATGTAAAACAATCTTGTTTCTAATTTAAATAAAAAATGGAGAAAACAACAGAAAAAACAATAAAATACACACACCTTTAATCCCTGCACTTGGGAGGCAGAGGCAGGTGACTCTCCGTGAGTTTGAGGCCAGCCTGGTCTACAGAGCGAGAGCCAGGACAGGCTACAAAGCTACACAGAGAAACCCTATCTTGGAAAAAAACAATAAAGTAAAATATAAGAGAAAACTAAAACAAATTCGTCTAAATTGGAAAAAATGAACAAATGTTAGGAAAAAAGCTCAAGACACTGTGCAAGAAACATATAGACCCAAAGACCCATTTTTTCACATACTGGAAGTTTCAGATCAACACAAAACCAGATGTCAGGGTAAATAAAGAGACAGATAACAGAGAAAAGATATAAATACCATGAAATCAAAAATATAAAATTAAAAGAAAAGGCCATGACATTATGAAACAAGAAACCCCCAAAGATGCCATTGAGTTCCTTTTCTATTGGTCATCTATTGAGGGGCCTGCAGCCTACCATTGAGAATACTTTGTTTGCCTAGTGAGACCTCCTGAGAGAAAACTACATTTTCATTTATAAGTGGTTATCAATTGGCAATAGCTTCTGGGTTAGGGATGGGGCATGTTTCCATTTCGCCTCTCAGCTCTAAGACCCCATCTGGTGCAGAACTATGCAAGCTCTGTGCAGGCTACCTCAATCCCTGTGAGTGTGTATGTTCATCCATCCTACTTATTTTGGGAGTCCTGTTTCCTGGGTGTCCTCTATCCCTTCTGGCTCTTCCACTCTTTCTGCCTTCTCTTCCTTGGGGATCCCTGAGATGGAGGGGATTTGATAGAGACATCTCTTTTAGGGGCTGAATATTCCCGGGTCTATCACCCTCTGCATGTTGTATAGTTGTGGGTTTCTGTATTTGTTCCCATTTGCTCCAGGGGGAAGCTAAAGAGGTTTATTTTTGTAGAAGATAGAGGCCATTACAGAAATTGATAGCAGGTCAGAATGGAGAGAATAAATGACTATGGAAGGCCGAACTCTAAATGATACATCTACAATACAACCCCTATACCAAAGCCTCAGGGAACATCTTGGAAGGGAGTAGAATGACTGTGAGAGCCAGAAGACAATTCATGATGGTGTCTTCTATATACAACAGTGAAGCTGCACCCACAGAATCGTAACAGCACTGGTCTCCTAAGCAAGACCTGAAAAATGACAAAATCAGTTGACATACCAATCAGGATGGGGGAAGTCCCTACTCCTACATGAATAGCTGCAGGCAGTTAATGGTGGCTGAGAGGGAGAAATTCAGTCTTCTTCAGGGATGAGCCCCTGAAAGGTTATCCAATCCCAAATGGACAGTCCTAAACATGTATACACATGAGCAATGATAAATGTACTCAGAAGGTTGTACACACATACACACAGACACACAGACACACACACACACAGACACACACACACACACACACACACACACACACACACACACACACACACACCAATAATAATTAAAGAAGCAGAGTTCATAAATTTTAGAGGAAGTGGAAGACACTAGATGAGTTGTGGGGTAGAAATGATGTAAAAACAGCACTTACATATAAAATTCTTTAAAAAATGAATTAAATATTATTTTAAATGATTTTTTAAAAGCTGTAAGTGAGTCAAGCTAAGTGTTTCTCTTGGGTAAGCCTGTACTCTGGTGGTTTAATTAGGAAGATTGTAAGTTGGGTATATAGTAATGAGTTCAGCTTCAATCATATTCACGTTTATATGAGGACAGTTATAAAATGCAATTCTTATTGTTTCATTTTTAGTGGGGGACAGGGCAAAAGTGCTCTTGGCCTAGAAAAGTCATGCCATTCTTCTACACATGATGCTGACTCATAGGAAGGGAAAAATGACTAGGCATAAATGAGGACTTGGGGAATGTCTAAAATCATTTTCTACTGAGCTACTTTAGGCTTTGATTAACTTTGTGGCTGTGACAATATAAACAAAAACAAAGATACTACAAATAAAGACTTCAGAAAAGCCAAGTGCCTCTATAGACATGAGTGTGTGGTAGAGCTGGGGTTATAAGTCATAGCAGTCAAATAAAATGTAAGCATTCCTGACTCTAGATAATGAGCAAACACATACACACAGTGTCTTCATGTTCCAGCATTTTTTCTTTAAGGAATGAAAGTGTTGTATTTTTCAAAACCCATAATGATGCTGAAAGGCAAAAGTATTAAGCTCCAGATTAGAAAATACAAACAAACTACAAACAAGCTCAAGAGACAGTGACAGGATTCAAATGAGAATTAAGTGGCTTAGAATTGAAAGTTATGGTAATGAGTACCATACCATTCATTAAAGCAATGGTACTCAACCTATGGATCTAGACTCTTCTAGGGATCAAACAACCCTTTCACAGGGTTCACTTAAAACCATCAGAAAGCACAGATATTTACATTACAAGTTA